TGCTCGAGCCCGAAATTAAAAGAGGCGACCGTAAAAGACGCAGGTTGAGGATCACAGCGAGCAGGCGCGGCCGCAGGCGTGTGTCGGTCTTCTTCCGCAGGCTGAGAAGCACCGCGAGAAGCCGAGGCTGCAGGCCGGTAAGGATAGGGCCAAGGGAGGGCCATCCTGGAAGGGCACGTCCTGAACCAAAGACGGCTGTCAAGACAATGGCGATGACGATGACGATGCTGATGCTGATGCTGATGATGATGATGGCGATGATGATGATTTTGATGATGATGATGGAGCTCGCAGCCAGAGCCGCCGTCCGGCATCGTGGAGTCGGTGCGGCGGCCAGCGACGCGCCCATGCAAGACCTTCACGAGAATCCGGCGCGCGCTCTCGCAGAGCCCGGACAAACTCACTCGGGGGCTCTCTAGACCCCGACGCATCTGCGCACCTACAACAAGCGCTCTTCGTATGCGAGCCAGCTTATGGGAAATACCAGTGGCTCCGCCTCCCCCCACCATGATTTTGATGATGATGATGATTATGATGATGCTGTTGCTGCTGGTGATGATGGTGGTGGTGGTGATGGTGGTTGAGGTGATGGTGGTGGTTGTGATGATGATGATGATGAATGATACTGATGATGATGATGACGATGATGATGATGATGCTGATGACGGTGATGATGGTGGTGGTGGTGATGATGATAATGATGATGATGATGATGATGATGATAATGATGATGATGATGATGAGGAGGAGGAGGAGGAGCAGGATGAGGAGTAGGAGGATGATGATGATGATTATGATGATGCTGTTGCTGCTGGTGATGATGGTGGTGGTGGTGGTGGTTGGGGTGATGGTGGTGGTTGTGATGATGATCAGTTGGCTCCGGGCATCCAAAATGTGGCCCGGGAATGGAGTTCTGGGAAATAGAAGAGCACGAAGTGGCCTACAGTTGGCTCCGGGCATCCAAAATGTGGCCCGGGAATGGAGTTCTGGGAAATAGAAGAGCACGAAGTGGCCTACAGTTGGCTCCGGGCATCCAAAATGTGGCCCGGGAATGGAGTTCTGGGAAATCGAAGAGCACGAAGTGGCCTACAGTTGGCTCCGGGCTTCCAAAATGTGGCCCGGGAATGGAGTTCTGGGAAATCGAAGAGCACGAAGTGGGCACGAAGTGTGTGACTGTATGCGAAAAACGATCCCCGCCGGCAAACCCCAACAGCCCCCCAACTGCCCCCCAACTGCCCCCAACGGCTGCCCAGACCCCCCTGTGGAGTAATGTTGAAGTAATGTTGAAGTAATGTGCTGCTCTCTTTTGACACCACTAGAAACCTACCAGTCTTCGATGTTAGGTAAAAAAGCAGACGCGCTTTGTGGACCAATTGGACGAAACCCGTTGACACGTCGGAAATACCCCCTGCCCCCCCCCCTCCGCCAAACAACTCGCGTTCCTGAAAAAGGCCTTACATCCCACTCCGCGGACACCGGCCTCTCCAAGCGGAGGGGGGTCCCAAGGGGGGGGGTTCGAACCGCCCTCCCCCTCACGTCCCCCCCCTGAGTTGCAGGGGGGGGGCTCGAACAGCACCCCCCCTCCTGTGCACGCGGGGGGGCGTTCGAACCGCCCCCCCCCCCTGTAAGGTTCGCTCCAGCTGCACTAGAATCGTATCAAGGATATGACCAGCTCGAACACAAGCCATTCATCATTATTCAACTGCGATCGCATCCTAGACGAACTCTGTCCCAGGCTCGGTCCTATTCTATCGGAATCCTACGATGGTTGGAGCCAGCTCTAATCGAATCCTACTAAATCTCGAAACACCTCTACTATAATCCTGGTCGGGTTCGGTCCAACTATGATAGACTCCAACGGCCGTTGGATCCAACTCTACCTTAATACTACTCAGGCTCATCCCAGCTGGATCCAACCTTCTAGCACCCTAGTCGAACTCGATCATACTGCGATATCACCCCACTCTAGCTGGATCCGGCCCTGACTGAATTATAGTAAAGCTTGATCCAGGAGTAATCGGCTCCTGCTATAGCTGGTCTCTTTTGTGCTAGCATCCGGTCAGACTCGGTCCACCTGGGATCCGATGTTATGAATGGGTCGAACTTACATAGCAGCATGGTTGGGCTGCTTCCAATAATAACAAGCCCACTTCGACTTGGATTCAAAACGAATTGCATCCAACGAAGGCTCGATTATACTTTAATGAGGTTCTGCGACAGTAGGATCAACCCTTAATTGCATACTCATAAGGATCGACCATCGTCGTCGGCGTCGTCGTCGTCGGCGTCGTCGTTGTCGCCGCCGCCGCCGTCGCCATCGTCATGGTTGTCAACGTCGTCGTCCTCGTTGTCGTTTTCCTCGTCGTCGTCCTCGTCGTCGTCATCGTCGTCGTCGTCGTCACCGTCACCGTCGTCGCCGTCACCGTCGTCGTCATCGGCGTCGTCAGCGTCGTCGGCGTCGACGTCATGATCGTCGTCGTTGTCATCGGCGCCGTCACCGTCGTCGTCGACGTCGTCGTCTGCGTCGTCGTCGTCGTCGTCGTTACATTCGTCGTCGATGTTTGCCATTGGCGAAAGGTACGAAGAGCCGGTTGGACCACCCCCCCGTGCAATTCTCAAGGGGAGAGAGGGGGTGCTCGTTCGACCACCCCCCTCTCCCCTTGAGAGAAAGGGGGGGGCCTGGTTCGACCCCACCCCCTGCATCCCGGTTCGGACCACCCCCCCCGAAGTGGAAGGGAACCCCTCCCAGTTCGAACCACCCCACCTTGCATCTCAGGGGGGGGGGGGGCGGTTTGAACGCCCCCCCTTCCCAACATCCACCGAACGTGCACTTTCATATAAAGGAAACGCAAGAAGGGGGGGGAAACTTGGAATGGAGAAGGGCATGCGGGGGAGAGAAAGAGAGAGAGAGAGAGAGCGAGAGGTAGAAACAGAGAGCGGGACACAAAGAGAAGGAAAGAGAGAGGCACACGAGGGAGAACGAGAGAGAGAGGGGGAGAGGCAGCGGGAGAGAGGGAGGGACAAAAACAAATAATGGGAGAGAGAGAGAGAGAGACCAGAAAAAAAACGACAACAAAAAACGAGAATGAGAGAGAGACAGAGAACGACACAAACAAATAGGAACAACACGCGGACACACACACACACACACACACACACGCACGATTCCCCCTACGCGGCGATGCAGCGTTGACCTGTCAACAAGCAACGGGCGCGCAAGCTTGAGTTGAAATCATCGCACGTGCGTCGATCGCGCTCAAACCGAAACTACATTGCCTCCAGTGGGGGAAGGCGAGACCAATCAATGACGAGCGAGTGCGTCTCATGTCTCATCGCCACTCCTTCACTCTGTCATAATTGTCCTCCCTCCTGGCCTCGCCAGCGTTGTATCATGTATTAGCCTCTCTCGCCCTCCCGTCTACTCCCCCCCAAACCCACCTCCTCTTGAAGCGCCGTCAGCTCTTGTCTCCTCGCCCTTCACCAGGCCTCAATCGTACCTATCCTCTTCAGAAGTGGGCCCGGCTGAAAGTATTGTTCAAACAGCGCGATCTTGGAGGAAGCAGAAGCGGGATGGGATACTAAAATACGACCCTACTGGGTGAACCTGGCGTAAAGCTTCACCGCTCATGCCAAAGTCCGTGCGATCGAAAAAAAGTTAAGGCAGGGAGGGACAGGAGCGGCCAGAGAGGAAAATGATCCTGAGGGCTTTGGGTCCTGGGGCCTTCCCCGGGACATGTCTTGCATCATGTGTTGTGTTCTGACGGTCCCAGGACCTCAGGAACGCCCCTGAAGACAGGAAGCGCTGAAGAACCTCAAGATCCTTTCCCTTGAGGCGTCAGGTCTGCAATGTGTCGGCGTGTCAGCGCGCCCCACGCGGCCGACAAAGAAAACTCTTACTCTGCCACAGCCTGGGGCCTGGGAGTACCAGAACGATGGGCCAGCCTGCTCCGTCGGTCAGCCTACTGTGGCGTCGCGCGTTGCATGAGCGAAGCCTCTCAGATTTCTGGGGAGCTCTGGACTTCGAAATGGCAAAGGCGCTTCGCAAGTGGTCCCAGACGGGGACCCCCAAAGACACAACTCGGAGAGCCCCCCACACCAAGCAAATAGCAGCCAGAATCCTCGGAGCATCTCTACGTCCTCCTCCGCCTCCTCCTCCTCCTCCTCCTCCTCCTCCTCCTGCTCCTCCTCCCTGCTCCCTGCTCCCTGCATCCTGCGCCCTCTCCCTCTAGGAGGGCTGCCAGCCCTGGTGAAGGGCTGCCAGGCCCTGGTAGAGGGCTAGGGGGATAGCAGCCCTCTGCCAGGGTTGCCAGCCCCGGCAGAGGGCTGCTATCCCTGCCCAGAGGCCCCCAGGTCCTAGTTGTCGGTCGGGCATGTCCTCCTACAGGAGGGAATCTCGAGGACAAATAAAACGTAGCCAAACAGATGCTCAAACACAGTGCAAGCAAACAAACATAGAAACATCGTCCCCAGACTAGGTTCGGACTATTTTTGAATACTCCTTCTGTACAGGCACGTGCCCGACCTAACCCTGGTTGCGCCCAATGAGCCGTTCCATGGCCGCTTGCGGAGGCGGCCGCCGCTCCCGCCGCCCCACCCCTGGCACTCCTTCCCTTTGTCGCGACTGGCGACGCGCAGTCGCGCGCGGGCGTGCCATGCGCCCTGCGTTTCCCGCCCCCTCCCCTTCCATCCCCCATCCCTCCCCTTTCCCCTCCCTCTTGATGGGCGTGTTTTCCACCACCACCGCCATAAGTTGGAGGGGGTGGAGGAGGAGGAGGACGAGGAAGAGAAGGACGAGGAGGAGGAGGAGGAGGACCCCCTCCCCCTCCAACTTATGGTGGTTGTGGAAATCAAGCACCTCAACTCTCCCTCTCCTCCCCGATGATTGATCCCCCTTCCCCCCCTCCCTCTCACACCCCCCGAGCCCGGGCCGAGCCGAGGCCCAGCCGCCCTGGCACTCCCTGGAACGAGCGAGGCGCGGCCGCGCGAGGCCCCGGGGTCAATCACGGATCGGCGGCGCGTTCGGCGGGGAGGACCCCGTCGGCCCCGAAGATTGTCGCTAAGGACGCGGACTGTGACCGATCGCAGCCTGGGAAGGCAGCAAACCACCGAGGCAGCAACTTCGGGAGGTCCGCGCAGGCCGTCTTGGGTCGGCTCTGGGGCCCCCGTCCCTGGCGCGCCGGAGGTTTCGCCAGGGGCGGCGCCGGAGGCGCCAGCAAGGCGGAAAGGTCCCACTGCCGACCCAAGAAGTTCCCCGCAAGTTTCCTCCAGCCTCAAGCTTGCCCCTGTCTCTGAGGTTCATAGGGGGAGAAGGTAGCAATACCTCTACCCTTCGGCCATTTTCCTCTTTTTGGGCCTCCTGGGAGGCCCTCGTCGCCACCACTGGATTCGCTTCGAAATCCTGATCAAAACGCACCCCAGGAGAGGTCCGAGGAGTAGCGGTATCGGTATCTTTCCGCCAGAGGTTGACACAAGCCACAGCAAAGACAACCTCAGGGGTGCGCCCCCTTGAGACGAAAGAACCCAGTGAGGTTGGCACTGAGATGAGGTGACGCCACTCATGGGGGTAGTGGTACCCATCGTTCGGAGGAAATGTGTCGCAACATAATGTTGAAAATTTCGATAATCGTTTGGGTGACGCCCCCCCCACCCCGAAAGGGAAGGACCCGGAAACGGAAGGACAAGAGAAAACAACCCAATTCATAGGAAGAAGCCTCCACTGGATTGGACCATGGGTCTCCAAACAACATCCACTTCCAGCGAACGATCTGTATGTCCCAAAATGTGCAGGGTGTGGGGGAACCAACAGGTACCGATACGCCTTCTCCCTGGACCTCTCCTGGTGTGCGTTCCGACGAGGACTTCGAGGCGAATCGAGCGGTGGCAACCAAGACCTCCCACAAGGCCGACGACATGCGAAAATGAGGGAAGGGTATTCTAGATCGCTCAGTCATCGCCCCCCCTTGGAGTGCCTGGGGGGGTTGGCCGCGGCGCGTCCGCGGGGGTGCCACGGGGGGTCTGGGGTTCGATCCCTTGCCCGCTGGGGCGCGACGGTGGTCCTGGAGGGGGTTGGCCGCGTTTTCACGTGTGTCACCCCCTGGCTGATTCATAAGAGGTTCGAAGTACCGGTATCGGTGTCGCTTCTTCCTCTGAGGGCAATGTCGCCGCTTGCCCCCCCTCGACCGTTCAGCGCGAAGGAGTCGGTGCGCTCGGGGGGGGCCACAGCGACGGGCTCCGACGTCCTGCCGGGGAGCGGTCGGGGCAGAGGCGCGCCCAGCGGGAGCGCGCGGGCCCTCGCCCTCACCTCAGGGCCCCCTGTCCTCTCCGCGCAGGAAATCGGTACGGTCGGACCTAGGACAGAAGAACATCCCTCAAGAACTTGAGACCCTCCGCCAGCCCAACCACACAGAACATCCAAGGGTACCCTCTCCAGGATGCACAAGAGCATCCAACAACCACGAAGAACACTAGGGTACCCTCCCCGAACCGACCTCGATCTTATACCTTGGCCCGGCTGTATCCCAGAACATGCACGGAAGCCGCGCGTGGGTACACTTAGGTGTCAGTGCCCTGGCACCGCGGCGTCGCAGAAACGCCACGAGGCAGCGTGTGGTTTGTTATAGTGTGGCCCGTCCGCCAGGCTGCATGTGTCGAACAACATGTACGTACACACTGTGCTTGGGACAAACATGTGACGTAGTACAATGGACATGCTTCTGGCCCATGAACAACGTGGACCACCGCCAAACTTACCCGGGCGAAGGCCCCAACCATATGCAGTTGCGCGTGTCGCCGTAGTGGGTATGGCTTGCGGTGGTTCTCTGTGTGGGTCCACGAAGCGTACAAAAGGTGTGCCGAAATGAGGCGGGGACGCATGCGGGCGCAGCCATTGGGGCATTCGGTGGCGCTCCATGTGGGGCCACGAAACGTGTGAGGGGTGTGCCGAAATGGAGCGGGGCCGCAATGCGAACGTTGCCACTAGGGCCTTCGGTGGAGCTCCCTATTGGGCCACGAAGCGCTGTACTGACTGGGAGATACGCATGCGAACACCGCCACAGGGGCCTTCGGTGGGGCTCCCTATGGGTCCACGAAGCGCTGTACTGGCTGGGGGGACGCATGCGGACACCGCCACTGGGGCCTTCAATGGAGCTCCCTGTGGGCGAAACGTTGTGCCGGGTGGGAGGGTCACATGCGAACACCGTCACTGGGGCGGCGGAGGAGGGAAGAAAAGAGAGGAGGATGGGGAGGACCTTCGACGCGTGGCATGACAATGGGTTCTCTCCTCGGGCCACACCACCAACGTGAGCCTATCGCTCAGCAGAAGTGGCGGTGGGACCCACGAACACCTTGCCAGGCCCCTCGGCGTGGCTGTGGTGCTGTAGGCGCTTCAAGCGTAGCCAATTGTAGTGCGGTCGCTGCGAAACTCAGTGTTACAATCATCTAGCAACTCACTGGCCAACTGACGGGACGAGGATATGGAGGAGGAGGTGATGGCGCACGAAGGGGGTTGGGAAGAAGAGCAGGAGAGGAGGAGAGGACGGATGAGGAAGTCGGTGAGGGGCGGTGATGGTAGAGATATTCAGTGGTCCATCGCGTGTGTTGTTGTCATCTTGCCGCTCCTTCTTCCTCATTCCTTATCATTGCACCGTTGTACTGTTACTATAGTTAATCGGGGTCTTTCGTTTCGCTGGTTCTGTGCAGGCCAACAACAGAGCATTCTGGAACTCGTTCAAATGATGCGGTAAAGTAGCAGGAGGAAGAGGAAGGAAGCGGAGGAGGAGGGCGAGTAAGAGGAGGATGTGGAAAGGGAGGAGGAGGAGGAGGAGGAAAAGGGGAGGAGGAGGAGGCAGGGGGGAAGCAGGAGTCGTGTCGGGCGCATCCGTGTCACAGCCAGATAGACATGTATGTTGTCTTTGCTCTCGGGAAGCTCTCGTCGCCACTGCTGGACGTGCTCCGAAAGTGTCTTGTCATGCACGGCGGAGCGAGGCCCGAGCCCACTGATCAAGGCAGGCATGGTCGACGTACTGTTTGTTGTAGCATTACGTCAACGAGTACTTTTACCTTGCTCACTAAAGCAGGAAACGTTCACGCATGGGGGGTTGACGGGGGGCTTCGCCAATACCGAACGGTATTCTTTTTGTCTTGAAGCAGGAAGGGTTCGCCATGTGCCAGAACATGTTTCGGTCCTGGGGTTTTTGACGGTGGCCGGAGGACCTAGAGATCGCGGGGGCGGGGGAATGGCGGGGGGCATCGCTGCCTCCAAACATTTCCTTTGAGTCTCGAAAAAGGAAACGCTCGCAGCTTGCCAAGAAAACATATTCTCGGGCCCGCGAGGGTTTTTGTTGCGGGGGTCGGATGGCTAAGAAATCGCAGGGTCCGAGGAAGGGGGGGTCCGAGGGATAGAGGATGTTTTGACGCCAGAGGCGCTGTTCGGGAGCGGCCAAGAGGGGGGTGTCCAAGAGGGGGGGGTGCAAATCATGACCGGCGGCATGTGCGCGGCCCAGCGGGGGGGCCAAGGACGCAATGAAACAAGAAGAGGCGCCATGAAATCTGGGGAAATATCATGGCCCCCGCCATGATATCCACCCCCCCCTAGCCCTAGTCATCACCCCCCTCTTTTCCGCCCCCGAGTCTCGTGACCCCCGAGAGTCGAGGGCCTGCTCGAGGCCGGGCTACGTCTTCGGGGGGCGAAAGCCATGGTCAGATCGGCGCCAGGCCTCTTCGAGGGCGGGGGGCCTTCGCGCGCTGCCTCCCCGCGTCATCACCCCCCTCTTTGCCGCCCCCGAGCTGTCAAATTGCCAGACATGGTGTTCTCGGACCGGGAAGGGCTTCTGCGGAGGACGGGTGTCCAAGACGTCGCCGGGGGCCGAGGAGCGGCGGGGAGCCTCGCTGCCACCGAGCATGTTCTCTGTGCGTTGCAGCAGGAAGCGCCCGCAGGTTGGCAACAAAGCGAGTTATCAACGCACACCCGCAGTGCACGACCGCATGTGCGGTTGCAGTTGCTCCAGATTTCGTAACAAAAGGGAGGGGGTCTGGACCCTCCAAGACAGGCCATTTCAGACCTCCCCCGTGGGAGAACCCTCCAAAACATCGTCCCCAGACCCCACCAGGCCCTCCAAGATAGCCTGGAAGAGACCCCCCCCCCGAAATGAGACCCCCCTCACTTTATTACGAAATCTGGAGTAGCTGTTATGTTGGAGCGAGATTGGATCTCTCGCTCGCCATATGGGACCATCTTGGGACGCTGTTCTTGTCAATGCTGGGGCCATCCTGTACAACCACAGGCGACATGGGGTGCACCCTGTGCAAACATGGGCGATATAGAAGGCATGAGGAAGCTTCTTGGGGCTAGAGTGGTGGCAATAACGGCAGACCACTGGGGCATCCTGACGGCCCCTGCAGGTCCTCAGAAGTCTGTCGAGGCCTTGAGCCCCCCTGTTTGAAGCAAACACCATCAACATCTAAAGACACTTGAAAGCGTGATTTTTTCCTGGGCCGCCAAACTGCGCGCATCGCGCCGCGCGATGTGCGGCGCGCAGTCATGTTCGCACCACTCCACCCTTTTGGGAAGGGCAGCTGCTCTGGCCAAGACAGTGGCGGGGGCAATGATTAGCAATAAAAGGACCCCTAACACTTTGGGAAGGGACCTAAGTAGGGATGGGGGGTCTTGTCTGCAAATGTTTCAAACCAAACCGCCCAACATTACCATCCCTAATGCGAGTACGAGACCTCAGTGAGGTCACGTCTTCATCCTGTTATTAGGGTAACGGGGTTCTTTCCTGCCCGATTGGGCAAAGCGGGCCATCTTCGCGCCCATGCTAGGGAAACGAACAATGACATAGACAGAAAAACTCGGATGTCCGCGCGGATTTCTCGGATCCGCGCTGGCCCCCCTGGCGGCGCCTCCGGCGCCTCCCCTGGCGCGCTCCGGCGCCGATTCGAGAAACCCGCGCGGACCTTCGAGTTTTTATGTTTATGCAATTGTTCGTTTCCCTCGCATGCGGACCACCCACAGCGGGCACGAGACATGAGACACCGCCTTGCCGGCAGGCGGTGCCCCACGGAAGCCGCCTCTCCCCCGATGGCCCCAGGGGCCCACAGACGCTCTGGGGCACCCCAGGGCTCTCCACGACCGCCAAAGAATGCGCCACACAGCTATCGTGGCAAGGTTTCTGATAGGCCTGTTTTCCACCACCACCACCACCAACATAGGTTGGAGGGGGAAGGAGGTGGAGGACGAGGAGGAGGATGACGAAGAGGAGTAGGAGGAGGTGGAGGAGGAGGGGGAGGACCCCCTCCCCCTTTAACTGATGGTGGTGATGGTGGAAAACAGGCCCCTCAATTTCTATCGTGTGGATCTACTGTGGCTCTTCCCTCACAACCCCTCCGACGAGAGAAACAAAGCAGACGCGAGACGCCGCTCCTCCACGGGAAGTGCAGCCGACGCGGCGACTTGGAGGAGGTCCTCGATCCCAGGCCCGACCCGCTGATAGAATTCGAGGACGGCCTCCTTGCCGTCAGCCACGAGCCGAACTCGCGCATTGTGTCCTGCGAGGGAGCGCGCTCCACGGGCGCATGGGGACACGTCGGAGCCGCCCCTTCGTAAATCGACTAAAACTCTACACAGTTGTACACTACGAGGCACTCAATTCTGGGGTGAATTGATTCTGTAGCCGATCTCCGACTCCAAAGGAGCGCCCCCATCCACCCCATACCTTAAGCACCCCGCGCACCGGACCCCCCCCAATCACACAGGCCCCCCTCCTCAAAGCGCCCCTGCCCCGCGGGAAAAGGGGGTGGGGTCAACAGCACCACCCCTGGCGCTGGTCGTCGTCGTCATCGTCGTCGTCGTCATCGTCGTCGTCGTGTCGTCGGTGGTCGGTCTCCGTCGTCATCCGTCGTCGTCCCCGTCGGTTCCCGGCTCCAAGTGGAGGGGGTGGGTTCGACCCCCCCCCTGGAAGAGGGGATGGGGTGGTTTCACCTCCACCTCAGGCGCGAGGGGAAGCAAGGGGAGTTTTGGAGAATCCTCCATTTTTTGGGGGGTGGGGCCGGAGTCTCCCGCTTTCCAAGCGTCCAGGCAAGATCCAGGATAGTCGGGGGCGGTCGGTTTGAAACCTCCCCCCCCTCTATCGCCGACGGAGCGCGCTGTACTACAGAGGTAACGTCGATCTCCTCGTCCTCTCTACCCAGGCCCTCGTGCGACTCGGATACATAAATCTCGTCGACGCGTCTCGCCGATATTCAGGGTCCATGGGGCCGTCGGGAGATCCGAGGGGCCAGCGATTAGAAAAAATCGAGTCGTCGCATGTCTAGATGTCTCCCCCTCGTCCTTTCGATCTCCACCTGCTCATCTGACTGCACCTTGAGAATCAAGGGCTCGACCCCGGACCCCATCGCGCAGGGGCCGACCTGCGTTCACAGTTCGATCCAAGACCCAGCTCAGTTTGCCTTCCGAGGGGGAAAACCGCAGGCAAAAACCAAACCCACGGCTGGGCATGTCGTTGCATAATCCCCGATCTGCCTTCCACCCCTCGGATATGCGTGGCAACACAGATGGCGCAAGTCTCCGTCTCTTCTCGTCTCGCCCACTCATTTTGCCGCTCCAACTCCGAATTCTTCCGGCTACTCCTATTAAGGGTGCTACTGCTCATCATAGTTCCTCATACTCTAACTGCCCCTCCATCTCCTCAGCCCCAGCGTGGCGTCCTGTATACCATCCATGGTATCATGTATCAATTGTTTCCCCTCGCCCTCCTCCCTCAACAGCAGGACCTCTTCCCTCAAATCGCAAATCGATTGTGAAGTGTTTTCCGAACCCCACGTCAGCCTCCTCGTCCTTAAGGATCAACAAGAGCAGGTCCGATAAGATCCACCTCGACGCGAATTGCTCCCTGGACGAGCGGCAAAGAAAACGCGGTCTGCGAAGTCTTCCCGTCATCTTCGGTCGGAACTTCCAACATCTTGATTTGTTCGAAACGCAGGCGCTGAACTGTCGATCTCATCCCTGCAGCATGTGTTTGTTCGCATGACGTGGAAGGCCCACAGACGGTTCCCGGAGGCCTGCAATGGGGGGGGGGGGGGGGCAAAACCGTGGCGGAGCTGTCCGCGACACCTGGAGATCTGACACTACTTCACCTCCTCCTATTTCCACTCTTCCACCTCACCATCATGTGCTTATGTTGTCAACCTGGGCCCAGAAAATATCGCGATCTGCGGGAGGGACTAATACTGCCAATTTCACCACTTACGTCCCGAGTCTGAATCCAGCTCGGTCGTCAAAGTTACAGCCTTCCATCGTTCTCCCAACTTCATGCCGCCCGCCAGGCTGCCTCGCAATCCGTACAGTGATTCTTATTGCTGGGAGTGGGCAAGTAAAGCTGGTGGATGTTGCTCAAACTGTGGCAAAGGTACGAGAAACACACACAACAGCAAGATAGTCAGGGCGGCGGGGTTCACGGGCGAGAGGCAAACTTCTGACCTGGCAGATAGCATTCCACACCTCGGCCCCCATCCGCAATCTGGGCAGAACAGCCCCACAGCGCTTCCCGTGATGGTCATCCTGATTCATTTTGTAACACTTTCGCTTAACGGCCAGATCAACACCCTCAAGACGAAGATCACGAACATCAACAGCGACGTCACGCCTATCGAGGAGCAGATCTCGAAGCTAGCCGACGGCTCGGCTACAGGAGGAAGTTGCGTGATCAAACAGAAGCGCATGCGGAACCTCGACTGCGCAAAGCCCAGGGTGCCATGACCACTGCAACGCGTTCCACGGCGCCAGTAGACCTCAGAGAACGCGGGCATTGCCGAACGGGCGCCACGGCCCTGCTGGGAAACCAGCCGCGGCAGCCCCCGCAGCCCTGCCGTCGGGCCGTGACGCGTTGAGAGCGGCGAAGCAGCACTCAGCGGAGCTTAACAGCGAAAGCAGCGACATCGTCGGGGACCAGCCTACGAACCGCCACTCCTGCGGCAACGCTACAGGCGCACGGCCGACAGGTTGTAGGAGGTTTGCGAACCTGATGGCGGCACAGCGGCCTCGGGCGCACTGCGGATTTCAACGCCCGAAAGAGGTACGGAAAAAATGGGTACAATGACCAATAACAAATGCTGCCCCAAACCGACCGCGCCCGCTGTGGGGCAAGCGGGCTTCTGTCTTCAATGAACAGCGTCCGCGGCGGCGCGGACAGCGAGTCCGGTTCACAACGAATAAAGAACTGCTGCTGGGCATCGTGCCCCGCCTTTCCGTACCTTCTCCGATCGTCCCGAGCGAGGCGCCTTCGGGCCAGCTCACCCAGGCTGGACTCTCGCGCGCATGGCTGGCTCCCCCCCGCCCTCGCCCCCTTCGCCAGGGCTGAACCTACACGGTGTCTCTCGTGTTCGTCATGATTTCGGGTTCCCTCGCTTTGGTCACGACGCCGCCTTTACCGCGAAACGAAGTCGGCACGAAAACGGCCCACGACATCACCAAAAACACCGTTTAGGTCCGGCCCTGCTCCGCCCCCCGGGTTGGGCGTGGATTAATGGGGGGGTCACCAATGCGGGGGTCAGAAAAGGTCCCCTTTCGTGCCCCTTTCGGGCCCCTCCAGAGCCCCAGGGGGCTCGTTTAGGTACCGTTTGGGTACCTTTTCGGACCAACCTCGCCACCCCCCCATTTACGACCCCCCCATTACGCGGCGCCCAACCGGGTGTCCCCGACCCTTCCCCGGCGAGGGGCCGGGTCCTGCAGGGACGACGCGGAGGGCCGCCGCTCGTCCAGGCTCTCGGCGGGCCTGCGGCGCCCGCTCTCGGATCGGGGATCGGGGAGCGCATCGACGAGAGGGGATGGAGGAAGGAGGGAATGACATGGAGACAGAGAGAGAGAGAGGAAAGAGAGAGCGAGGAGAGAGAGCGAAACACACATACATACATACATACATACATACATACATGCATGCATGCATGCATGCATGCATGCATGCATACAGACAGACAGACAGACAGACAGACAGACAGACAGACAGACAGACAGACAGACAGACAGACAGACAGACAGACAGACAGACAGACAGACAGACATACGTACAAACAAACATACACACATCAGTTCATCCATACATACATGCATGCATACATGCATGCATACGTACACACATGCATGCTTACATACACACCTATACATACATACACACATAAACACATGTACACATACATACATACATACATTACATACATACATACATACATCCATCCATCCATCCATCCATCCATCCATCCATCCATCCAAACATACATACATACATACAGACAGACAGACAGACAGACAGACATACATATTCCTCAGGAGGCCCCAGGAGACCCCAGGAGGCTCCAGGAGGCCCCAAGAGGCTCCAGGAGGCCGCAGGAGGCCCCAGGAGGTTCCAGGAGGCCCCCAGAAGGCTCCGAGGCAGGGTCTGGGGCACCAGAAAGCATAGAAAGCCCCAGGAGGCCCCAGGAGGTTCCAGGAGGCCCCCAGGAGGCTCCGAGGCGGGGTCTGGGGTACCAGAAGGTACGTCGGGGCTCGATTTTGGGAGGATGTCTCAGGCGAAACCGCCATTCTCTGAGAATCGTGGTCAACATTATTGAAATTTCAATGTGCTGTTGAAGGTGTTATGTTAAAATGTTGAAATTCCCATGTGTTTTTGGACCCTGACGTCACGATTTGCGTGAGGGGTGCCACCGATTTTCAGAATTTCGAGGATGTCCCTAAAGAAACGGCCAGACAAATCGCGAATGCGGCGCCCCGCGTACGCATTAATCGTCTCTGAGCTCTACTCCCTCGGAGAGGTGCGTATGACAATAGTATATATATATATATCTATATAATTATATATATACAATTACATTTATATATATGTATAGATACACACATACGTGCCTACACACATACATACATACGTACATGCATACCTATATACATGCATGCCCATACATGTGCAGTTACATACAAGCACATACATACACGCATACTTACATTACACACCTAACAACCATGCATACATACACGCACACGCTCACTCAGCCAAACATGCATGCATACGTACATGCACGCACGTATTAAGGCATACGCACACCTACGCTCACACATACAAACATACACGCACGCAAACTTCCATACGTACATGCATACACACATACATAAATGCATGCACACCTCCATACTTGCACACGTACATGCATACATACAAGCATGCAAACAAACAAACAAACATACACGTGGGTATGCACATACATGCACACATACATGCACACAACCATACATGCATGCATGCATACAACCATACACACATACATGCACACATACCGACAAACATACACATATAGATCTATATACATAAGTATATACATACACACATACACACATATATACACAGACATACATACATACATGCATATACACACATGCATGCATGCATGCATGCATGCATGCATGCATTCATCCATAACCATAACCATGTATCCATATATATAGTCATATATAGAGGCACATGCGCTAATCCATATAAGCGTACAAGAGACAGAGGGGACTGAGAGACACGGATAGAGAGAGAGAAACAAAAAGAGAGAGAGGGAGAGAGAGAGAGAGAGACACATGCACGAACATAAAGAAATAGAGAAATAGGGAAACAAAGAGAGAGAGAGAGAGAGAGTGGGAGAGAGAAGAGGGAGAGAGGTAGAAAACACGCGGGAGGTAACTAATGAGAGGGTGAGAGGCGGAGAAATCGAAGGAGAGAGGCAGGGAGGTGGAGCTGAAGGGAAAGCGTATGGGAAGGATGATGGGTGAGGAGGCCCTCTTCCAGCTTCCTGCTCACTCCTTCCCTTCCTCCTCCTGCGGCGCTGCCTGTCGCCCATCCTTTCGCCCATCAAACTCTTGGCGACAACGCGCTCGCTGATGTCCGTGGAACCCACGTCAGTGTTCGAGGCGATCCGCCGCTGGTAATTGATGAGCTCGATGAAGGCGGCCGCGTATCGGGACCTCAACCAGGCCGCACGGGCAGGACGCTGGCGGAGGCACACGAGCACAGCCTCTGGGGGTCCGCCGACGGCGTCCGCGGCAATGCCAGGAGAGTGCTGTTTGCATCGTCGCCCCCACCCAGAGATGGCACTGCCGCGCCCGAGGGTGGCCCGCCAGGACTGCGAGGCAGGCGGGCAGCAGAGAGCGCGAGACTCCTGGCGTCCGCGGGCGGCTCCTGCGCCTGCCACGGGCCCGATCCCCGCCCCCCCCCTCCGTTTCGCCCCCCGGCTTGTCTTCTCCCACCCCCCCCTTTGGTTTCGTCCCCTCCGTTTCGCTCCCCTCCGATTCGCCCCGCCCACCCCTCCGTTTCGCCCCCGGCTTGTCCTCTCCTCTCGCTTGCACCGTCGGCGAGCGGCGCGGGCGCAGCCTGATCGATCACCGCGCGCAGGCATCCTCCGCCGCCTCCTCGGCGATCCCAGGCCCTCTCCTGCGATGCGGAGGCGTCGCGTCGCGACGAGTCTGCTGAGAGGGCGAAGGGTCCAGGGGTGCCAGGATGCTCTGCTTCTGCGGTTGCTCCTCTCCCCTCCTCGAGCGAACGCCGCTCCGACCCACTGCTACGCCGGCGCTCGGGATGCCCCCTTGGCTAGCGGCACCAGCGAGAACATGAAGGTGAACAATAGGCGCAGCTCGCCTTCCGTTAGAGTCGGCGTCATGGCCACGATCGCTGGCCCAGGCTGACCACTAAGGCCGGGACACGTCGAATCCAATCGTCCCCTGATGAGCCTCAGCAGGGGGGAAACGCGCTTGGCCAAACTATGGTGGCGCGATCTGTGTGGCGAAATATTCGTGGTGTTTTTTGTGAGTTGCAAACAACGTGGCTGCAAAATATGTATGAAACACGTTGGTGTTTCACTGTGTGTATGCTGACATGCTTGAAGAGGTGGTGTGATTGGTGTGAATGACCTATGTGCGCGCGTGGGCATTGTGATATCTGTTGCAAGGGAGTATAGAAAAGATACGTGTTGCGTTATCGTGTTCGCGAGCATGGGATACAAGCTGGGCTGGTATGGTCTGATCCCACATGGAACACGAACCATGTGGCAGAGTGGCAGAATGATACGTAAATTGGAGCGTCCCAAGGGTTTCGATGAAGCCGGGCTCGGGTGGTCGACTCTATTTTCTGGAAAATTGAAGGGACCAGGTATACAGGAGGAGGAGGAGGAGGAGGAGGAGGAGGAGGAGGAGGAGGAGGAGTCGGCGCCCACGACTGGCCACCAGCCGGGCGCCATGCGAAACCCTGGCGGACCCACCAAACCCGCGGGAGGCCCACGAGGAGGGCCCACGACCCGCCACCAGCCGGGGCACCATGCGGGGTCCCAGCGGACCCCTCCGAAGCACGTGGCGCCCGAGAGGCGCCCACGAGCGGCCCCACAATGCAGGCACCAAACGAAGCTCTGGCGGACCTATCAAAATGCGCATCTTTGCCAGCGTCTGCCCCCAACATCTTGTTTTCTTCCGTGGATGTTCAGGCGGATGGAGTGCAATACACGTGGTGCAAGCTAGGTGGTGTGAACCATGAGGTGCGAACCGTATATGAGATATGTCGTGCAAACTGGCGTAAAAAGGATGTGCTGTGTTTCCCCCATTAGATCCAGACGCACGGCCGTCGACGGCGACAGCACAACCGAAAACCGACCGAACCAACAACGAAACCGAACCGACGGAACCGACAGGCCTGGAGTCACCTGGAATGGCGCGGCAGCGCAGCAACGCCACAACAACCGATCAAACCGAACCGATCGAACGCAGTACCACGCCCGACTCGGCATGGACAACCCTCCAGGAGCGTGTCTCTGTATTCGCGGCGATAACAGGCGTTATGGGGGTGGATGGGCCGGGGTGGGGCATAACGTAACGCCCCCGCCGCCGTGCGGTTCTGGCACCACCACTCGGGGTGACCCAAAAAGGGGTCCAACTGAAAGGGGGTGGTGCACTAGATTTGGGGCATTGCAGATGTATTGCGCCGGAGAATTGTATTGCATTGAATTGCAAGTAATGTGTTGCACGCGAAAATACAACAATACATATGCGCCCCGAAATGTATTGCACGCCCCAAGTGTATTGCAACCCCACAAACTTATTGCACCAACTCTATTGCACCACCCCCTTGTCGCTGGACCCCTTCTGGGTCAACCCGAACCACAGCGTCCGCGCGCACGACGACGAGCGACGACGACGACGACGAGCGACGAGCGACGACGACGAGCGACGACGACGACGACGAGCCACGACGACGACGCCGACGACGAGCGACCACGACGACGACGACGACGACGACGACGACGACGACGACGAGCGACGACTTCGACGACGACGACGACGAACGACGAACGACGGCGACGGCGACGACGACGACGACGAACCAACGAGCAGCGCCTCTGGAGGTCTCCGGAGGTTTCCCGACGCCTCCAGAGGCCTCCTGAGGCCTCTGGAAGCCTCCAGACGCCTTCCGGAGGTTATCCGAAGGCCTCCAGAGGCCCTCGAAAGCATTCGAGGGCGTTTGGCAACGACGAGCGACCGCGAGCGATGACGACCGACGACAACGACGAAATCGATGACGAAGATTACGACGACGATGACGAGCGACGAGCGACGACGACGACGACAACGACGACGACGACAACGAAGAGCGACGACGACGACGACGAGAGACGACGGCGACGACGACGACGACGAGTGACGACGACGACCACGACGACGAAGACGACGACGACGACCGACGACGAAGAGCGACGAAGATGTGTGGCGAACACATGCCTGTTGAGGCGTCGTAGCCTCCGCGTGTCAAATAAGAGGTATGCTCCCTACCTCCCTCCTCCATCGTCGTCGTCGTCATCCTTCTCCTCCTACTGCTCTGTCTCCTACAAACACCACAAGTGCCTGAGAGCACCGCAACTTGCCCGCGACCACCGCCCCTATGCGGATTTCTATGCGCATCCCTGTGAGGGCCCCTCTGGGGATCCCTATGTGCATCCCAATGCGGATCCCTAATTATGTGGATGCTTATGCGGATCCCTATGTGGATCCCTATGCGCATCCCTATGCAGATGCCTATGCGAATTGCCATGCGGATCCCTATGCGGATCCCTATACGGATGCCTCTGGGTATCCCTATGCGGGTTCCCACGCGGATCCCGATGCGGACCCCTATGCGGATCCCTGTGCGGATCTCTATAACGATTCCTTGGAAATCCGATGCGGATCCCTATATGGATCCCGATGGATATCTCTGTGCGACCACCATGCAGGTACCTGTCCGAATTTCTGTGCGGATGACGATGCGGATCCCCTTGGCGCACGGCGGCTGTGCCAGGGGCGCACTGGGGGCCGGAACGTTACGTCATGGGGGCGGCGGGGGGCCGTAACGCGCGTCATGGCCCAAATAATAAAGAAACACCCTCCAGGGCGAGGGCGGCGTGCTCCGAGACGACCGCGCGCCGCCCGGGGCCACGTCTGACACCGCGGCGCCTTGCTGGTCAGCACCTGCTGGAACACGACCGCGTCGAGCATGATCAGCCTGCAGGCGCTCGCGGTGAGGAGCGTGCCCTGGTACACCCAGTCGGTCCACAGCACGTGCTCCGAAGCCTGCGCGCAGGGCGCTCGCCGACGGGGGCGCCGGGCGCGTGCGCCGCCCATCCCTCCCCGTGGCCGGCCCCTGGGGCGGCGCGGGGCGGCCAACAGCAGCACGTGCATCCGCGGGAGCAATGAGGACAGCCGAGCGGATGCGGCGCCACCCGCACGGACCCGTCGCGAGGCTGGGGAGGAGGTGCCGGGGGGGGGGAGGGCGACGAGGAAGGAGCGAGGGGAAAATCGGGGAAGTCCACGAGGGCGGGACGCCAATCATGGCGGCCGTGTGTGCGCGGCCCGGGGGGGGGGGGGGGGGGGGGACGTAGTGGAATAGGAAGAGGCGCTATGGAATCTGGGGGGATGTCATGGCCCCCGCCACGACATCCACCCACCCCCCAGTCATCACCCCCCTCTCTGGCGCCTCCGAAAAGAGGCTGGGGGGGAGGCCGCCCGCTCCTCGACTGCGCTCTCTGCACGCTCCTCGCCGTCGCGTCCATCGTCGTGGCGGTCGTCTGCGTCGGGGCAGGTCCTGCTCCGCGCCCCCATCTTCAGCTCAAACTCAGACTCCTCGTCGTTCTTCTCGTCTGTCCTCCGTCGTCCCTGTCGTCGCTCGTTCCTCCCTCTCCTCTCCTCTCGTCTCCTCGGCCTCTCGTCCCCTCTCGTCGTGCGTCCCGCTCTGCTTTCGTGCGTCCTTCCTTCCCGCCAGACGGCCTTTGACTGCCTTTGTCTGTCCATCGGCTGCCGCAGGCGGGCCCGTCTGCCTGCACGCAGCCTACCGCCCTCCCCTTGATTGGGGCCAGCCTAGGACTGCTCAGGGCGCGCTCGTCGTCCTCGTCGTCCTCCCGCTCCCTTTTGAGCAGAAACCGACCGTCACGGCATCCCTATAGGCCTACCACGGAATGTTTTTAGAACCCATAAATGTTCGAAGCACAGAACAAAGTATCTTAGAAAACAAACCCGATGTGTTAAAACAAGCCAGTCCCAGCCAGAAAGGTTCTAAGAACATCTCGTGGAAACCACACAAGGTTCTTAGAACATTGTTTGGTAGGCCTGTAGGCACGCCAGGACCCTTCGCCACTGCTTGACACTCCTCCCACCCCCTCCCACGCGCGTTTGGATCCCAGGCGCCCACTGCCCTGGCAAGATCGTGTCGGGGATCTTCTGCTGGAAGCGGTCCACTCTTTCACGTTTTTCTTGTCACGCTTGCCTGTGTCAGGCCGGGGCCTCGGTTCGGGTAACCAACGACTGAATGCTCCGAGGGAGTTCCGCGCGTCTGCACCTCCTTGACAGCTCCACCAGCGTTCTTGGGGCGACGCCCCAACTGCCCTGAATGCAGGATTCTGTCAACGATGTGCCCTGTGGTGCCTTAAGCTAGCCCGCGCCCGAGCTTGGGGATACGAGCAAGGCCGCAACTTCATGTTCGGCCAAGCCGGCCGTTGGCGATACCGCGCGGAATGGAATATACAATGCGGTGATGTACGCACTTCGTAGAGACACTCGCGTATCGCTGCTGCGTGACTTTTACACAACACGAGCACGTTGTTATCAGAAGCGAGGGCACCTGCGATCAGAGAGACAGCTGCTGGATTGGGCTGCCTATGTTCAAAACGCCTACAGGGCTGAGGGGAAGGCATGTGCAAATAATCATGTTCAACAGTGTACCAGGACAACCTGTAGTTGTAGCAGCGGGGCAGGATCAGGATGATCTGGCAAGAGATGTGCACCCAGAAACGAAGCAAACAACATCCTCTGCAATTCGGTAGTACTGCAGCCGTCCTTTCTCAATGAAAAGCCGCTCGCCCAGCTATCGCCAGACTGAAGCATGGCTGAGGTGTGGAAATTTGTGTTCTAGAGGGTCTGGTCCCTCCCTCAACGTACCGAACCAGCACCACACAATGAGAGTGGAGGGCAGAGAGTCCAGGGCAGAGTTGGGAGAGCAAAGAATTTGCAGTGCCGCGCAACACTTTGAGTGGCAAGAACAGAGAACTCATGGAAGAGGAGTAGAGGGTGGATGATGGACCGTCCTTCCCAAATTGTATGGGCGGTGGTGCACAATAAAGAATATTGAAGGGGCCGCAGGACACACACACACACAAATACACACAAATAAACAGATTCCCCATATTTTCCAATATTTTTAAGGTGTTCGTCTTCCCCCCCACTTCCCATAGTTTCCAATATTTTCTGGGAAATCGACGATTAATTGTGTCTGTGTGATTTTCCCCCTCCTGAAATATATCATACCAGATGTGCCGTTCTCCGATTGTGCCCACCACCAGGGCGTTCTATATATATATATAGGGCTCCAGCAGATGTTCGGCAAACTGGTGACGGACGATTGGCCGTCACGGAGGCAGGACGGGCGTGGACGATGCCATTTGGGGTCCTGCTGCTGGGCGAGCCGCTCAAGGTACACTCACCCCAGGTCGGGGAATTTGGTGGCACACGTCGGAGACAATCCCCCCCCGAGGCGCGACGGCACCCCAAGCACAGCCTTGGAGGGCGCCCTGCAAACCACGTTCAGCACACATGATGGCTCGATCGCACAAATCGGCGGCGAGCCAGGGCGGGAAGGGAGAAGGGGAGAGCTTCCTCGGAAGGCTTGGAAGTCCCCCGGCCTGTGAGAAATGTTCTAAGCCTGCGCCGACGGAAAAAAAACACAAACCAGAAGGCCAGCGCGCTTCTGAGAAGCCCCGCCGCCTTTGGAGAAAGACTTCTCCTTCTCACTTCCCCCTCTAGCTCGTCGTCACCCAAAGTCCGGCAGCACACAAGGCTTCGCAACACAGAGAGTTGGTGGGGAGGGGTCGAGGAAAGAGTGAGGGGGCGACAGGTTGGAGGAAGGAGAGCGTCAACACATCCCGCCCGTTTTGACATAGTCCGCGGTGGATTTCGCAGGTATATGCTGCGCCGCCGTACCAAGCGCAACCAACTTGGCCCCGTACGCGCAGAGGCATGGCTCGTTTCATATCCCCCCGAGACCCGAACAGTGGGCACACGAGCAATAAGGCGCCAGCCGTTCGCATCATCTGAGGTGGATCGGATGGCACCTCATCGGCGCTGAAAATGATCTCGTTCTCCGCGACAAGAACTGTGTTGATGCCTTCGTGACAAATCCTCTTCATCATCTGCGGATTCCTCTCGCGCAGCAAGGCGAACAACGGATGCACCTGGGGTCGGGGGTGCGCTCTCGCAGACACTCCCACGCGCTACATCGAGCAATCCACATATACATACTCACACTCATTTGTTCGAGCCAAGGCGCCCCTCTTTCAGGCGAAGCACAATACACATAAATATACGCCCCCACCTAGACACACAAAATTCCGCGAACCACTGAAACACCCAACTGGCCCGTCACGAAGCACTGCCCATGTTATCTGTGTCAACGATGGGCGATCAAAACCAGGGTGCTCTGTTTGACAACCTCCATCTGATTAACAAAGGCACCCGTTCCCCGCCCAACCCTCATTTGCACCTTGTGCATTTATGCCTGGATTGTCTAAACCTCTCTCTCCCCATATGCTAAGATGCGCTTCTTGTTACTGTCCGGGCACTCTGCGGCTGATCCGGTGTTTGTGCACAAACGCATATATTGAGATAGAGAGACATGGATAGAGAGAGAGAGAGAGCGAGAGAGAGTGAGAGAGAGAGAGAGAGCTGAAAAATGCGTACCCCTGAATTTGCAGAAGCACTCTTGGCCCATCAAACGGTGCAGGAAATACTCTCGGCCCCTCCCACAAGACCGATTGTGCGAGGATGCCCTGAGCGAGGGCGCCAGTTTAGGATTACGCGCCGGATTGTCTCAGTTTCCATCGGATTCGCCAATTGCGGTGCAGACAAAGCAGTTGTTGGCCTCGCCTCTGGCGCGCCAAGGGTAAGTCGGAGCTTGGGGGGTGAGATCGCAGTGGAACGAAGACCACCAACGGAGAAATCGTTTCGTGTCGTGTCGTGTCGTGCGTGCGGGCGAGGCGAAGCTGCGTGGGCTCGCAAGGGGAATGAACCCGCCGTTGCTAGAGCGAAGTCAAGACAAACTCCGCCGTCCGTCCGGCGGTGGCTTGAGCGGTGTCCCGTGGTGTCCCGTGGTGTCCGCCACTGCAAGGGCGGAGTCAAGACAAATGTTTCTCCCCCGCCCGCCCGTCCGTGGGTCCGTCTGGCGGTGGCTCGCGACCGATAATGAGATCGATACTGAGACCGATGTGGTGCCCCGAGGTGTCCCGTGGTGTCCCGAACAGTGACATCGATAAGGAGATCGATAATGAGATCGAAAGGTGTCCCCTGGTGTCCCGTTGAGTGAGATCGATAGTGAGATCGATACTGAGATCGATGTGGTGCCCCGTGGTGTCCCGTGGTGTCCCAAAACGTGAGATCGGTAGTGAGATCGACAGGTGTCCCGTGGTGTCCCGTTGAGTGAGATCGATAGTGAGATCAATAATGAGATTGATGTGGTGTCCGGAGGTGTCCCGTGGTGTGGCGTGGTGTCCAGGTGAGTGAGATCGATAGTGAGATCGATGGTGAGACCGATAATGAGATCGAGAGGTGTCCGTCGGTGTCCAGTGGTGTCCCGTGCCCGTGGTGTCCCGTGGTGTTCCGTTGAGTGAGATCGATAGTGAGACCGATAATGAGATCGATACTGAGATCGATGTGGTGCCCCGAGGTGTCCCGTGGTGTCCCGAACAGACAGATCGATAAGGATATCGATAATGAGATCGAAAGGTGTCCCTTGGTGTCCCGTTGAGTGAGATCGATAGTGAGATCGATACTGAGATCGATGTGGTGCCCCGTGGTGTCCCGTGGTGTCCCAAAACGTGAGATCGGTAGTGAGATCGACAGGTGTCCCGTGGTGCCCCGTTGAGTAAGATCGATAGTGAGATCGATAGTGAGATTGATGTGGTGTCCCGAGGTGTCCCGTGGTGTCATATGGTGTCCCGTTGAGTGAGATCGAT